TAATACCAAGGCATTTTGTAAAGTTTAACCACCCAGGAACAACCATTCTTATCTCCACCAACTGGTTTTATAACAGTAGCAAGAACTTTCTCCTTCTTTTTCTTTTCAATCCAGGATTTAGTGGCCGAGTAGTTCCTCTTGTACATGGCCTTCCTGGAGTACTTGGCAGATCGGGAGTATCTGCTGATGCCCCGGACTAGGACCCAGTTTCGGCTGCAGTGGCGCTTCCCCTCCTTGGGCTTTTTAGTCTTTCTGTCACCCTTTTTAACCTTGCCACTGGCATCAGCCTTCTTGGCTTCAGGTTTCTTCTCCTTAGTGGCCTGCTTCGCAGCTCTTTCACCGACCATCTTGTCCAGTGGGAAAGCACATAATTTACTCTGGATCACACAACTGCTAAGTGGAGAAGCTGAGACTCAAATCCAGGCCTGCATGCTCACAGCGTCAGAAATCTGGGCTCCATATCATCCTGCACTGGCCTTCCGGTGCCAGAAAAATAGCCACAAGATCGCTCCACTAACCTGTCACAAGCTGGTCAGAAAAGCAGTGAAAATCAGGGTGGCCCTGTAATTTATCATTCAAGCCAGGATACTTCTGTCCTGCACTCACACTAAAGCAGACTGCACCCAGAATGCCACACATAAACCGGGAAGTAGAGTCGCCCTAGTTAAGATGCGCATAGTGTAGGGCAGAGTGATATCCAGCTGGTGAGCTAGTCCATGAATTCTAAACCATACTATTCTTTCTCAATTCACATATTTTACGATCACAGGCATCTTGGCTTCAAAGAAATACAGTGGTTAAGATCAGCATTGAGCGGGTGGAGTCTCCATGCAGGAAGGAGGGCAGAGCTACGGCACTCCTCGGGGACCCCGACCAGGGAGGGCTACCAGGGTGGGAGACACATGGATGGGCACCAAGGAGGGGCACAAAGTGTGCAAGAAGGAGGGAGCCAGAAAACACTGCCAAATGCTGCTCTCAGAGGACCTCCACTGGAGCGCATGTTTTGGGGCAGGGGGAGGGAGGCAACTAGGATAAGCATCCAGACAGGAAGATGTCCCCAAATCCTCACAAGTAGAGCAATCAGACTGGCTCTGTGTGTGCTGGTTCTGTCTAAGACCAGGAGCTGTTGCCCCCACTTCCCATGATGTCTTTGCCCGTCTTTCACCATCCTCCCCTGTTACCACACGGAGCTGTAGTCTTCTGGCTGGTGTGCAGGCAGAGTTGAGCTCTGGCGCTGTCCCCACTCACCACAGTATGGAGCCCTGGAAGTGGTCAGGAGGTAGACTTTCACTTCCTTGGGAAGCGGCTCTATCTTGACACCACCATGATTCCCCAGGCCTAGACATGAAGAAGCAAAGAGGACAGAGCCTAAGGAGGCCGTTTCAGGGGTGCCAGCACCCAGCCACGTGTTCATTGACTCATGGACCTGTAGACATCTACACCATGAGCTCCATATGCAGCAAGACCCAGGACACCAGCAGCTGGGGCCAGTGGGGTATAAACATGCAGATAACAGGAAGTACTTTCTTCAGAACAGATGGTCCATTCTTGGGAGATAATGATAAGAACTATGAAATAAGGTCTCTAACTTACAAGCCAATCTATACAACAGCTCTTTGAACAACTGCACTTGTGTCCTGAGCCAAGGGAAGTGGAAAGAATTTACCCTCACGACTCTCTCTAGAAATGCTAGTATAGTTCAACATTTGTTGGTATAGTTTCAGACCAGGTGATGGTCTGAGAGTGGATGGCGAGTGAGAGAGGGCATTCCAGGCAGACAGTGCAGCTAGAACAAAGGCACAGGGGAGGAGACATGACATACGCTTGAGGTCTGAGAGGTCAGCGTCCCTAGAACAGTCAGTGCAAGGGGGAGTGCAGTGAGGCATGAAGCTGGGCAGTCAGGGAGTGGTTGCCATGTTAGCTGGTCCATCGTTGGGGAAAAGATATATGCCCAAGGAGTGGGAAATGCTGACGGCTCGTTTCATTACAGGGAGCTACCCTTACTTTAACATTGCCGTCAAGCTGGCATTTGTTTCATCCACATAAGCAATGACAGTTCAGAGTGGCAGCCGGGGTTATAGGGCATGGGAGAGTGAGAGCGGGCAGGAATGGTTTCCTCTGTCCAGGAGTTTTTCCTAGAACTTTTCATCCTGAATCACACCAGAATAGTCACAGCAGTGATTTGTCCAGTATGAGTTAGAGGCCCTGTCTTAACTTCAGAGTCCTTTCCCCAGTCTGGCCTTGGTGAACCAGAAATGTGCCCCAAACACCCAGCAATAAGGCATCCCTCACACCCCAGCTGGCACGTGGCCTCTAAAGAGAGTTGTGTATGCCACTCTAAGGGATTCCCTGCAACACATTCGTTCAGGTTCTAGGAAGAGTCTGAGAGCGGCTGGCTTAGCTAGAGAGACCGACAGGAAGCACCTGGTCTGAGAGCAGGGCCGGGGGCTCTGAACTATCCCAACATTTCTAGAGAGAGTCGTGAGGCTGGACTTCCAGGTGAAAGACTGTTTATGGAAGAGTGAAAGCAGGGACGGCAGGGGGAGAAGTACAGAGGTGATGGGTGTGACATGGGGAGTCAAGTGTGTCTTCTACTGAGGCGGACTGAACCCCTCAGTGGTGATTTTTCTTTTCACCAGTCAAATAGACGTATTGACCACAAGGTATGAGGGCGTAAAGCAGGGATAACTTTTCCCAAATTGTCCAAGAAAGCCAAAGAGGTGACATGTTACCTATCCTTGGGCAGGAGAGCAGAAAAGGATTAAAGCAATCCAGGCAGTGTCCAGCAAGGAAGGCCCTGTAGCTGGCGCAGGGAAAGGCCATCAACGGACACGGATTCTCCATCGCACTGATATAGAGATGCACGGCCCTCATGTGATCACAGATCAGGTAACTGTAACCTGAGCAGGGGAGGGAGAAACACAACCAAGGTTTCTGTCAAGACAAAATATTTTCCATGCTACCTGCCGTAACTCTACTGTATATTACATTACAGCAGGCTTTAAATACACGGGATATCCCCTGAACTAAATTTTAAAAATATTAATGGACATGCTTACTGCATTCTCCCTCTTTCTCTAGATACATAAGCTTATTCTATCAACAAAATTGCTTGAATGAGGTCATTTTTATATGCTCATGCAGACTCTTTATAAAATGGAAGGATATGGAGAGTTGAAGATGCAATGCCACTTCTCAAAATAGATACTGGCCTTCATGTTTTCCCTTCTTCTTTATTGTCATCCATACATGCACCCAGTTTTTTTACAACCTCATTATACCTGATCTAGCACTGAGACAATCAGTGGAGTCATCAGCAATTCATGGTCAATCTCTGAAGCCCATGGACTGAACCATCTCTGTCACCTAGTGATTAGGGAAGCCAGATCCCACATGGGTGGCTGCAGTCAATCCTGGCCCCAGAGGCTAGAAAAACTTGCTGGGCATGCGCGCATGAATGCTGTAAGTCTCGACAGGAAGGAGAAACAGAGAAGAGGGATCATAACGTGACCACACCCCA